CAAAAAATACACTCCAGACACGCCGCTGGCACTAGAGGCACAGCATGGCCGCCTAGTAACGGCCCCGACCACTGCCGCTCGACCTAACCGGAAAAAACCGTAGCAGGAAGCTAGCGAAGTCGTAGTATATATCGTCACAAATAGAACTGCTCGGTAAACCGTAGGCAGTATATATTTGTCACAGCCCCTCGTTTGTTGTCCTCTTCTCTCTCTCTGCCTACGGTTTACCGGGCAGTTCTGTTTGTGACGATATATATATATCGTCAAATAGAACTGCCCGGTAAACCGTATGCAGAGAGGGAGAAGAGGACAACAAACGAGGGGCTGTGACAAACTGTTTCGTCGGAGTTTCACCGACTCATATATATATATATAAGAGAGAGAGAGAGAGGGAGAGAGCATCACCTAAAGCACCTACCTCTAAAATTTTGTTGTATTTTGTTTAGCAAAAAGAACATTAAAATTGGTAGAAGATAGGGCGGTTAAAAAATCTCGGACCCCCCTCCCCTCCCCCCCCATATTTATTGATTGATTGATTGATGGATGTATCGATTGGGGTGCCCCCCCCCCTAGGCCCCCCCAAAACCAATCAATAAATATATAAATCAATGAATGTCGAACTTCTTTGTATATTGATTGATTGATTGATAGAGTGGAGGGGCGCCGCCTGCCGCCCCCCCCCCCTCTCTCCCCCCGCACGCGCACAGACACATACATATACACATACAAATAGACACACATACACCCATACAAGTACGCACACAACTCCAAAACACTCCCGTCACACTGCAACACAAGTAAGACCAACAACAATACTATAAATGTCCTTCCCCCCCCCCAAAAAAAAAAAAAAAAAACACTCCCTGCTCAACCTTCCGCCCCTCTAAACACGCTTCGGCACCCGCGCTTCATAGCACTCCCACCCACCATCCCCTGCCTTACTCCCAAGGTGACATGACCAGAAAACAACAGATGAAGGACAAGACTAAGATAGGCCAACAATCAAACACCCCTAATAAATCCACCCCCTCATCTTGACGGAAACAAGCGCCACACAGGCCTCCCTACCCTCCATCCACCACCTTACTCCCTATACACAACAAAGCACCCGAGAAAATTGCAAAATTAATTAAAAAAAAAAAAAAATTAATCACCCCTATTCCAGCAGAATACATCGGTCTCTAACCGTCCCCTGAAACTACATCACCCCCACAAAAAAAGGAAAAAAAACAAAACGAACAAAGAGCATCAATTTTCCGCGTACAGCCAACCCCAATGAACCCCACCTGCACCAAACCTGTGTCACCTCTACCCCCCCCAAAAAAAAAAACGTGCTATTACCAACTTACCACACCCCCAATTTTAAAGTAAAAATTATTTTATATCTTAAAGGATTTTGAAGAACAATTTCCGTATTGGCTTGTCCAAATCCACTCACATTTGGATTATTTGTTAGAGTCAAAGTGAAAAAGACAAGCAAAACGAAACAATACCAGTTCCAAATTTCACGGATACCTGGCTGCAGCAACCCACCGGGCGTACGCTCAGACAGGAACAAGTATCACCCGAAACAAAACGATACACAGACATAACCGGGTACTACAAGACAATGAAAACAAAACGCGCCATAACCTCGAAAGCTACCAGCCCCCTATTGCCCACAAGCACCCCTGACTTACATCCCCGTCCCCGCACCCCAAAAAAACCTTCCACAGCAATTCCAAGCCAAGACGCCGGCTTGCACACACAAAGAAAAAGAGGATCCTGACTCAGGATAACAACACACCCACATAGCGACCGGATGTTGAACAGCGTGGCCACCATACCCAGACTACAGCAGACAAAACACGAATGCCGCATCCGACACAACCCCCTGATGCAGCCAAGAAACTCCAAACCATACACCCAAAATCAGCAAAACAAACCTACGGGTGGCTGTAATCACGGACCAGCCCATATTGACTTACCATGAGGGCACGGATGTGACGCGCAACCTCACGCCCTGTGCTGTCTTTCGTTCGGAGTGCTAGAGGTGCGAAAAAGGGCCCCAGAAAAACAGCAAGATGGGGTGTGCCAAGGATTTTTGGAAATTGATTGTGGGGACACAGACGGAACTGAAATCCCCCGTGTTGGTTTGATGAAGTAAGTCGACTGTTTTTCGCACGTCGCAAAAATGCGCACGAGAGTTCGGCGCGAAGGAGAGAAAAATACAAATTCAATCTAAAAAGTATTGCCGAACCTCCCACCGTGCTACGACCCTTCATTAAGAGCAAAAGGGTTTCGGCACGCTTCGCGTGTCTCGTCTTCGTATTAAGTCCCGACGTCGTTCACCAGTCAGTTCTGAGTCCAACGTGGAGGGCCTCAGTCGTGTGGCTCTTTCTCTATGTCCGTCCTCACTCCGTA